AAAAAAGGAATACCGAGCTATTAAGAGGATGAAAAAGGGGAAATTCCTGTATGAGAGGACCAGAAGATAAACGAATGTGGAGATGTAAACTGGGCAGCACTCAAACGGCTATCTGACCATGCAGTACAAAGATGAAGAACCATTCGACATTTACGATCTCATCCTCTTCCACAAATTCTTTAATGATCTCTACAACCGGAAGTGTGGTAGGAACGATCACTCAAGGGACAATGACACCTTTACTCCATTGTCCAACAATTCGCAGCTCACCAAGGAACTGGTCAATGAACTGAATCGCGACTTCACGTTACAGGGAATCAAAGATGCAACTAAAAAACTCAAAAACAATAAGAGTGTGTCCGATGATCTGATATCCAACGAAATGTTGAAAAACTCCAACGAGAAACTCCAACTCGTCGTGGTAAAACTCTTCAACTCCTGCCTCCAGCATGGAACTTACCCCTGGAACAACTCCATCACAACTCCCCTCCATATTAAGAAGGGTGACCGGCAAAACCCTGATAACTATCGGGCCATAACAATTGGGAGCTGTCTCGGTAAACTCTTTTCGAATCTAATCCTCAAACGGTTTATCGAATTCAGAGAAAGAGCCTGTCCTGACCGACCCTATCAACTTGGATTCGGGAGTGGAGCCCAATTTAATGACCACATACTCACCCTAAATACAATCATTGAGAAATACGCCAAGAAAGAGAAGAAGCGACTATTCGCCTGCTTTGTTGATTATCGCAAGGCTTTCGATAGTGTATGTAGGGAAGCACTTCTGTTCAAGCTGAGCAACATGGCCACATGGGAATAGCAGGCAAATTCTTCGAATGCTTCAGCCATATGTACAATAACTCTTCAACCCTAGTCAAGCTGATTCAAAAGCTCTCCGCAGCCATTGACGTGACGATTGGTACAGAACAAGGGCATCCAATGTCCCCTGAGCTCTTCAAACTTTATATCCACGAGCTCTCCATCAGGCTGGAACAAATTGAGGAATTGGATGTACCTCTTCTAAACGGTGTTAAAGTAAGCCACCTCCTTTTGGCAGATGACCTGATCCTCTTAGCGCTGGATGCGGACAGCTTACAGAAACTGCTGAACTGCTTGCATGACTATGCCGTAAAGTGGGAGTTGTCTGTGAATATCAACAAAACCAGTGTGATGGTATTTAACACAAGCTCACGAATACTCAAATGTGCTTACGGCTTTAAACTAGGAAACTTGGACATCGCACCAGTAAGAAAATACTGCTACCTTGGAATACAATTCTCTCTGAACGGTTCCTTCAAACAAGCAATCGATGAGCTTAGGAAAAAAGCTCTACGCTCGTTCTTCTCTATGAGTCTACTTGACTTACTTACTTACTTACTTGACTTAAGGCGGGTGGTATTCCCGAGATCCATTGACAACAGTTCTCCACAGCTTTCTGTCCTACATCAGTTTAGCTATCTCATCTACTGACTTCAGCCCAGTATCTGCTTTTAGGTTATCTAGTAGTGTTAAATGAGGTCGCCCCCTGTTAGTATGCCCATGACTCGGCTTCCAGAGGATCAGTTTGTTCAGTGTCAGCTCCGGATGTCGGTGAGCATGACCTGCAAGTCTGAGCCTTCGTTGGGTTATCTTGGAGCTGACTTTGGGAAGATCACCGTACAGGCTGTGGTTGCTGACATGGTCTCGATATTGATTGATGTTAAGGGCCATTCTTAACATTCGCGTATAGCAACCATCAACCATCTTCTCTAGCCTTTTCGTCATTGTCCAAGTCTCGGAACCGTACAGTAGCACCGACTCCACTAGTGCTGTAAACACTCTGATCTTGATAGACTTTCTAAGCTTAGAATTCCAAAGTTTTTTGAGTGTGTGGCATGCTCCCCATGCTCTTCCTTTCCTAACCCTGATATCACTCTCACTGTCTCTGATTCTAGACCCCAGATAGGTGAAGTCTTCCACATGCTCTATTGTACTGTTACCCAGGGACTTGATGGTATCAGGGTTCTCGATGTTCTGAGTAATGAATTTGGTTTTCCCTTCATTCATTCTAAGTCCAATTGTAGCAGCAACCCTTTCTACCTCTAGCATCAGCGTCTCTGCCTCCTTTACAGTATCTGCTATCAGAGCAATGTCATCTGCAAAACCAGTGTCTGATATCTTCTCCACCTTAACTCTCCTACTCCTATAAGGCTTAATGGTAAATCATATTTCAGGGTGCTTGCTTAAGGCTTGTCTCATGCAATAGTCAAGTCTATGAGTCTATGAGACGAATTATTGACACGAGAGCACTCTCCACTAGCATGATGCTAAAACTCATCGATAGCTTAATCAAGCCAGCAGCTACATAGTCATACGGATGCCCTGTTTGGCTGCCATCAACCAACATCGCTAAAGCTATTCTCTCAAAAAACCAAGAAGTGAGTCTCCCTAAAGCAGCAGCAAAAGATGCTCTCGAAACTACTCACCTAAAAATTCTTGAATGGATATTGGGTGTCCACAAAAAGGCAAATAACAACTCCTGTTACGGCGACACAGGAAGAACCCCCTGGACAGTGACCGTCCTCCCTCAATGTATTGCCTACTTCTATAGAGCATCACAAGCGGTAGTAGGTAACGTGAACACACTTCTGCACCATACATTTCAGGAGCAGAAACAACTGAACCTTACCTGGTATGACACTTGGTCCACTATCATCAAGATGAGCACCTCCGCTAAACCAAACCTACACCCCGCTCTTGCAGCACGTGAGCACATACACGAAACCTTTGTGAACCACTGGAAAAAGGATCTTCACAACCAGCCGAAGATGTCATTCTACACCGCGGTCAAATCTGAGTTTGGTGAAGAACAGTACTTACAGATTCCGTGCAGGCTTAAGAGAGCTAACATTGCTAAACTTCGCTCTAGCAATCATGATCTGAGGGTAGAGAAAGGTCGATATACTAGTGATCGATACAACACAGCATTGAAAACGTGTCGTTTTTGCTGCTCTCTAGACACAGACGTAATTCGCTTTTTCGAAGAGCTACCTTTCTTTGAAACACCTATCCTAGAAACTGAGGACCATGTCATAACCGAATGCCCTGGATACCACTCCCTCCGCTCAAAGCTTTCTGATAACCTGAAAAGCCTTGTTATGCTAAAAGAGTATAGGATCATAATGAACTCTTGTCACACAAAAGAATTCGGGAAATACCTAACAGACTCTTCAAACCTTCGAAATCCTAAGAATAAGTCCTAATCCTCGCTTCACGTCCCCTACTCATCTCCTTCATCGTCCCATCAACTTATCGTAGTCTCTAAGTCTAACCTATCTCCTTGGACTTGCTTTTATGCACACATCCAGAATTTTTATTAGAATTTAAATTATAATATTTGATTTTATTTCCACTTCGTGATATTGTAACGCGGTTAAATTTTAAGATTTTATTTTCATACTTTCAGTCGGCTTTTGTTTTATATCTGAACGTATTTATGAATTGATGTATAGCCAAAACGAGTTCGTTAGTGTTCTCCTTGGTAATTTCATGTTTAATTCCTGTTTAATTCTTGTTTAATACGTCACTTCTTTCTTATTGGTAGTTGGCGTGCACTTGATTCACGATGTCAATCCTTCGCATCTCACCGATCTGCATACGGTTGCGAGAAGCATTATTGGATGCGCGCGCGGCCCAGCAGAGCAACGAATTAGAATCAGAATTAGAATTATAATCAAATTTACACAGCAATACAATAAGAATAAAAAATAATTTAAGAAGCTTCAATCTGCTGTGAAGGACATTCAAGTCAGTCGAAAATTGTTAGCAGAACACCCTTCTAGGGACATAAGAATATAGCATGTAAATTGTAAAACATAATAAGTAATAAATTAATGAGTGATAAAATAAGATATGATTTAACAGTGAACTGTGGGCATGAAGGTAACAATTAATGTTGAAAATTACATAGATGCCCACTTTGGAATTTCGTTAGTAATATTATACACAAAGAAGTTATACACGATCGACGATGCGAAGCAAGAATGCTAGTTTGCGCAACGCGTCGAAGCGGCCGGAAGTCCTCCAAACTAATATCCGGCCAAGCACCTTCTTTACTAGTTACTATAACCGAATATCCGATCGATTTCTAAATTGTATCACTATCAGAGTGTAATTGAGTGGAATTTTAATTGCAAAATACCCGAATTGATCTTGGCCTTTAGTAGTCTGGTATGAGTCTCATGTAACCTGGTATGAGCTCTAGTAGCTTGGTATGAGCAATTTGAGTAGCCTGGTAGTGGTATGCGAAAATAAACATGTTCTAGAGTGTCCAAGTAAGCTACCACATACGTAATTCGATGATCAAAATTCGTGGCATAAAATGGCATAAATGGAGAATTACTCAAGAGTTTTTCCATTTTCCCCATAGAAAAAGTCTCCATTTTACGCCATTTTATGTCATTTCATGCCATTCGGTACCAGCCACCAACAATTGTTCCCGGAAGTGATCTTGCCAAGGTACAGAGGGCTGTGTGCATGTTGTCCAACACCACCGCCATCGCTGAGGCTTGAGCTCGTCTTGACCACAAGTTCGATCTTATGTATGCCAAGAGAGCCTTCGTCCATTGGTACGTAGGAGAAGGTATGGAAGAGCGGGAGTTCTCTGAGGTTATAGTTGGTTAGAACGCCAGCTTTGCAATCGTGAGGTTGCGGGTTCAAATCCCACTGTCTGCCTGGTCGTGGGGTGAGCGTCGTTGACGTTCAGCTAAGGATCTTGAGTGGTATATGCAGCCCCCCGGTCTACTCAGCCGAATACTCGAGAAATCGGGTGTGAGGGTTAAATGAGGAGCTGCACATTGCAGCAAAGTCTCGGGCGAAGAAAGTATGGTACACACTACCTTAACCGTCACTGGCTAAAAACAAATCCTTCGGCTTACTGTAATTGGCTGGTTGCACTTGTGTAACAATGTGGCTGTTGGAATACTCCGAAGTAAAATAAGTGTCTTGATAAAAAAAATAAGTATTCTGAAAAAACATACAATGAATATCAATAATTACTGAATCGCAGTCTCTTTCTTTTATTTTTTATTAAAACATTGAAAGTTGTCTAAAATATTGAAATTTTAAATATCAAAAGTTTAATTATAGATTGTAAATTTATAGATTCGTCCGGGTTTTCGAGTTGAACAAGTTTAGATGCTCATATTAACAGCAAACAGGAGAACGACGAGGAAAATTAAGCTGACTTTCAGGGCTGCTGCATCAGAGTAGTTCTGGTTGTCTCCCTGTTCATTTTCATCATCTTCTTCACTTGTATCTTCTTCTGAAGGGGAAATTTAATTTAGTAAAAGATACCTTCATTCTGGAAAGATATCGGCATGATCTATTTTATATGGCTTTGACTAATTATTGCAAGACCACGAACAGACACAAATCTTATATTTATTTTTAGGAACTATAAACAAGTAATTACAACTATTCGATTATCCTAGTTCGCTTGACTCCCGTACGTTTAACAGTTCATTTTTCTTTCAATGTTAAAAAATTTAATTAAATGGGTAAGATAAAATCGAATGCAACCGACAAAATACTGGCACTGAAAAATTATTCATCATCCTGATGGACGATTCTTCTATCCAAAGGTGGAGCCTGATATAATAAAGTTTTTAGGACACACGTAGAAAATAGGTATCATTATTCTGAGTGTGCGACAAAGTTTACCAAATCTCGCCTTATAACCGTCGAATCCCTGCTCTTTAACCAATGATGTTTTATGATTGTTAGATTGATCTAATTAGTAATCTACTACATTTCAGAATAAGGAATACTATACTGTTAACTATAGGCAGCTATAGTTAACAGATTCACAAAAATGTAAACTTGTAGTTGTAACATTGTAGTGCATAACAACAATAAAGTTTCTGTGCTGAGAACTTCTGAGCATGCTTGGTTAATATTTTTGTATGTGTACAAATAATCTCAACTTCCAATGAACATGTCCATTAATAAAAATAGAAAGTCCTGGCTACCCGACAGTTTTGCACGAAACTACCAGTACCGACAATCCCCCTCCACCCATTGATGAACATCATAACTTATTTGGTATATCTACTCGACTGAAAAATTGTCTTTGGCGAGTAATCATCATCAAAAATCTCAACACTACACTCAGTAACAACAGACAAAATTATAGAACTGCAGTGCACCTCATCACAGGACATTGTAGCCTCAACAAACACCTACACACCATTCGCAAATCAGACACAAGTGCTTGTCCTAAATGCGGCGACGGAGAGGAGACTGTCTCACACTTTCTCGGACAGTGCCCGGCTATTGCCCAAATAAGAGGTCAATATTTCCGGGACTACTACCTCTCTGTCAATGACATATTCGACAACCAACACATCTCCACCATTGTCAACTTTACAAACCACACTAAACGCTTAGTGGTGCCAGAGGAGTTGGACCAGACAGGTGTAACATAGCGACTACTTTAACGCCGTCTTATTTCGCCTCTCTCTTCCACACTCAACCACCACTTAAGCGTTTATCTATGACACACCCCACAACACTTACCATCATCCTTGATTACACATCTTGATTCCACTGGCATCCTCCCACAGGACTGCCATACCCCAGAGGTAGGCAAAGCATTCATATGCTATCCTCTCGTGGGCCAACCAGGCCCAGCCTCTCTTTAAAAAAAATTAAAAATAAATTCTTTGAGCAGGTAGACCATGAGCCGTCTGAACTCCAACCTCCGTTAATTGCTTCTAGTTCAAGAGAAATGTAATAACAAAATTATCCACAATCTCAATTATAACTTGGTATAAGGCACGTATTTTATTATTTATGCACTGTTTCTACGTTTAATCCTGGGTTACCACATATTTCGATTTGCGTGATTGATCATCATGATGCATCAAAATATCTAGATAAATCCATGATAACTGTCGTAGTAATATGAGCAGTGTGTTTTACTCATTATCATTTCTTTATTTATTGTTCATAGATGAAATTGGACGTTTGATTTTTACGATTCTATGTAGTATAACAGATCAAGTCTGTTACGATCCCATTTACGACTAGCCAACCAGGCCCAGCCTCTCTTTAAAAAAAATTAAAAAATAAATTCTTTGAGCAGGTAGACCATGAGCCGTCTGAACTCCAACCTCCGTTAATTGCTTCTAGTTCAAGAGAAATGTAATAACAAAATTATCCACAATCTCAATTATAACTTGGTATAAGGCACGTATTTTATTATTTATGCACTGTTTCTACGTTTAATCCTGGGTTACCACATATTTCGATTTGCGTGATTGATCATCATGATGCATCAAAATATCTAGATAAATCCATGATAACTGTCGTAGTAATATGAGCAGTGTGTTTTACTCATTATCATTTCTTTATTTATTGTTCATAGATGAAATTGGACGTTTGATTTTTACGATTCTATGTAGTATAACAGATCAAGTCTGTTACGATCCCATTTACGACTAGCCAGGTGTGGCTAGGGTGAAGGCGATATAAATATCCTGGTCCACGAGATAATAATAGAACTATTTCACGGCCTACAAGCTACGAGACAGGTCACATGGTGTGCTTTCATCATGACAAAAGGAGAGAAGGAACTCATAAAGCGGAAAATAGAGTGTACTGTGTAGAGACGATAAATATATAGGCCTTATCAGGAACATGGATGCTGAAAGTCCTTCTGGTAACAACTGTCGAGAAATAACCAGAGCAATCACAGGAATTACTATCTCATGTTCGAGAAAAGGAATATCAACCAGATGAAGGAGACAATTCACCGAGCTGAGGCAGAAAGGAACACATGATATCGATTGTCGAGGGAGGAGCTGATTGGAGAGAGAACAGGAGTGATAACTATGGGCCTAACCGAAAGACATGGATGATTTAACGCTAAAAATACGCCTTATCAACAAACTATGAAGCACAATGCACATGCTTTTATACTGTGTAAACTCTGCAAAATAAATCTTGAACCAAAACAGTTTTGAGTTTGTTTGGTAAAATACCTAATTACTGCTTATTTTCAAGATATTTTATAAAAACATCAGTTTTCAATTGATAATTGTTTCAACCTTTAGTAACTGAAAATGGCTTGTCTCCATCATGTCTACTACAAAATATACAAGATTTATAAATTATAGTTTGCTATTTGGTAATACGCTATCGCCAATATGATTATAACTCTGCCTTCATTGAAAGAGTGTGATTTTATCTCATTCGGAGAACAGTAATTGATAAAATTATGACCACCTTATTAGGTTATAAATAACAATATGCCAACTAGCCTATATCCCATATCCTATATATGTTTTATAATTATATTATGTTAAATAACACACTTGAAATTTAGACAGTAAACACGTAATCACGAGCTTACGAGAAAATCAGCAAGGTGGTTTATTTATAAATTAAAGTTATTGTTACTTTGTTAAACCAATGCTTGTTGGGTTCTTTTGCGATAGTCAAAACGCGACAACTAGCGCTGGATGGCGACAACTAGCGCTATCCAGCGCTAGTTGTCGCCATCCAGCGCTAGTTGTCGCCATCCAGCGCTAGTTGTCGCCATCCAGCGCTAGTTGTCGCTATCCAGCGCTGGATAACGTTGGCCAGCGCAAAATATATATGTTCGATAATTGTCGCTATCCAGCGCTAGTTGTCGCCATCCAGCGCTAGTTGTCGCGTTTTGACTATCGCAAAAGAACCGCTTGTTGTTATTAGTCACCTGGTAATTGTAATTGTGTTCCGTAGTAATCAGATGCTGTGTCATCAGAGAGATCGAACTTTATCTTTGCCACGTCATCGCTCCATTTCGAGCTCCAGATATCGAGAGCACACGTTTGAGAGAGCAGTATGTTGAGAACCTCCACCTCGTTACAGTGTATCACTAGTCTAACACCTGCAGTCCTGGTTAGTGTGATACGCCACACCTTGTCAGCAGCAGAGGGGGGATTAACAGCGAAGTTTTTGTAGGATGAGGTGCAGTAGCCGAGGGAGTATTGTGGAGTAGAGCTGAACAAGAGCATGATTCCTCCTGCATATGCTCCCACAGCAGAGTAGAAGCGCACTTGTACCTGATCGTCACTCCCCAGCTCACTATCAGTCCTAATTTCTAAAGGTGTCGACTCAAGATCCCACTCTATTTCCACGTCACGTTTGACTGGTAACTCACCTGTTAATTGTATGTTTAACTCATGACTATAAAGGAATTGTAAGAATGTCGCCCATAGTTTTTTCGCAGAATTTAAGGGCCCGACCATACTATGACTGTTGTCACCATGACTGTTGTCATGGTGCGGTCAGATGTAATGACCATAGGTACGTAGTGTGTTTATAAGGCGTGCCAAGGATACGTGACAACTCCTCAGGCACGTCGCACGTCGCTTTTCAAAAGCCGTGCCTAGCCAAAAATCCGTGCCTGACGTGACTGCAGGCACAGTCTATTCAGTACTCGTGCCAACTGTCATGGATAACGTGACGTCACGATTACCTAATAAGGTCTATATTTTGCGTGATATGGACATTGGCAGCGCAGAGTGCAAAGATAGTACTATAGTACAGCTACAGATCGTCTGAAAAATCGATCTACGGACACAAAAAGCTTCCAAAGGATTTATGACGTTATTAGGCTGACTAACTGTTCCAAAATTTTCCACATGTCTTAAAGCCACTTTTTGCTACTTTTGCAACTTTTTACCACCTTTCTTGTTTGTCAAATATCTTCAGCTATGAACATCGTAGAAGGTTACAAATAAGTCGAGGGTGTTTATCTTATCGACGAGAAGAACTTTTGTCCGAAAAAAGTTCACGTCAGACAATCAGATAATTTGATAATTACTAATTAGCTAATTATCTAATTACCAAAAATTATAAAAATGTTTACGTATTGGCTCGAGAATTTTTCGAAAATTTTTCACTTACACATTTTTTGAGACTTGACAAAATTTTGAAAATTTTAAAATATAATTTTTTATAAGTTTTTTCGAAGCTCAGACCATGGTTTGGTTGCCGAACCGCATCATACCGAATTGGTCCCCATTGGGAATCAAACCCCAGTCGTCGGCGTGAGAAGCAAATGTATTAAAACCACTAAACCACCCGGCCGACGTGACAGCACTCACTTTTTAGCTTTTTACTATTTTATCCCAATTGTCAAAGTATGTTTACTTGATAAACAGGAATTAAACATTAAACATGGGAATTAAACAGGAATTAAACATGAAATGACCAAAGAGAACATTAACGAACTCGTTTTGAATATCTCAATCATTAGAGTTTAATTTTACTTGATCCAATTATTTCGAATAAGTAATAACTAAAATATGCGATATTGAACGTTGATTCGAAAAAAAATTGAAATGATTTAATTAAATTTGATGTACACGCCGATAAAGTTATGACAGTAAGTCGTTTTCATAAAAAGTGGGCAAATTTGGTTTTCATGAATACCAACTAGTAATTACTAATTTTGATACATCTCCAGTTGTGAGGATGGTAGGAGGTTTCATTTTTATTATAATCGATAAATTGGTTGCTACTTGGATAATAAGCAAATTAATCAATTAGCTTAATATTCAATCAGTACAGTGGTTGTACTTTTATAGCAATTGCTTAGTAATCGATTAGTAAGTCATATCAGAAAAAGTATTTAAATAATAAATCAATTGTTAACTGAAACGTTTGGGTGGTAACGTTCAGCCTCCCGTGTCCATAATTATAATATGACTAGTAAAGATTTTACCATATAAAATGTTACCTTTGACTGATGACCACAGTAGGATCGTCAAAATGATGATCGTTATCGTCATGACGTTTTACCACTCACTTACAACTTGATAAAAATGAAACAACTAATATTTTATCATTATTTATCATTTATAATGTACTCATTATTTTATACACTAGTATAAGAATAATAAAAAGTTATGTTTAATCATTTATATCAGGGAAATCTTAACATATTTCTGGACATTTTAGTATATTTTAAGTCGAATCTCCCGTTCAATTTCGGGTCTAAGATCGTCAAACTAGTGCAGAATCAAGCAAGTTAAGTAATTTTTATATGTATTAAATTGAATGTGCTTTTTATAAAAAGTAAATATACTTAAAATGTGTGCCTATTTTGATATTTCATCCCTAGCTTAGCAGACGTAAATAAAACAACGTAAATAAAACAACGTAAATAAAATAACGTAAATAAAACAACGTAAATAAAATAACGTAAATAAAACAACGTAAATAAAACAACGTAAATAAAACAACGTAAATAAAACAATGTAAATATAGGAGGCCCAGCTGCAGAAAATCCTGTCTATGTCGCGTAAGATCATATTTTCAAGCCAAATGATCTATAAGGTGGAATCTGCGAAAAAGATTTTATGGTTAATGTCAGTCTGCGACCCAAGACATTTATACTGGACCTCGACCAGGGATCATTATTTCAATAAAGCACCGCTATCATCTAATTTGATAATTGGAGAAGCAAGAAATAGACAAACAAACTCGGTCTTAACCTCAATGATTAGTTTGTGCAAGGGCCGACAATAATAATATTAATAATAGAGTGGAAAATGAACATATATGCAAAAATAAAAATGCAAATTCGATAAATATCGGAATTTTTATTTAAAAATAAAGTTGCGACGAATTACCCATTATAATTGTTAGGCTGCAGGCTTGGCTACCCTGTTCTCATAGAATAATCCAATATCCATAACCTTCTAGAATATTCTGAAATATTTATTTTACTTTTAGTTCAGGAACGGTCATCAAAATGAGTTTGTATGACCGTTCCTGAACTAAAACTGCAAATTCGATAAATATCGGAATTTTTATTCCTCAGGCTCATAATCACGTGACCTCCGACCCGATCAATTGGGTTCTGTCTTGGTCAGTTCCCTGTTACCTGACCTTAATTGAGGTGACGTACGACACCTCGTTAATTCTATAAATGTCTAGAAAGCTGCACATTTTCACATTCCCAGCACTTAAGATTCTTAAGGAGTTGTGCAAGATGGCGATACAAAGAGGCCGCAGAATTATGAGGACTACCAGATCCTTGTGGAACTTAAGCGATCCATGATATCACGACAGGCCATATTATAATACAAGTACTGCTGGCAGCTGCTGATCTAGATTTCATTTGATATTTCATCCCTAGCTTAGCAGACGTAAATAAAACAACGTAAATAAAACAACGTAAATAAAATAACGTAAATAAAACAACGTAAATAAAACAACGTAAATAAAACAACGTAAATAAAACAATGTAAATATAGGAGGCCCAGCTGCAGAAAATCCTGTCTATATTGCGTAAGATCATATTTTCAAGCCAAATGATCTATAAGGTGGAATCTGCAAAAAAGATTTTATGGTTAATGTCAGTCTGCGACCCAAGACATTTATACTGGACCTCGACCAGGGATCATTATTTCAATAAAGCACCGCTATCATCTAATTTGATAATTGGAGAAGCAAGAAATAGACAAACAAACTCGGTCTTAACCTCAATGATTAGTTTGTGCAAGGGCCGACAATAATAATAATAGAGTGGAAAATGAACATATATGCAACAATAAAAATGCAAATTCGATAAATATCGGAATTTTTATCTAAAAATAAAGTTGCGACGAATAACTCATTATAATTGTTAGGCTGCAGGCTTGGCTACCCTGTTCTCATAGAATAATCCAATATCCATAACCTTCTAGAATATTCTGAAATATTTATTTTACTTTTAGTTCAGGAACGGTCATCAAAATGAGTTTGTAACCAGGTCGATTATATTTTGTTAAATTTCTAGCTTTCTCTCAGAAAATGAATCTGGCTTTCTATGGGAGGTAATTAGAATTACACTTACATTCACATTCCCAGATTCAAGTAAAAAGCATGCGAGATCACCTGGTCAAATGAGCGGGAAACGGAGAACATGAAGCTCTGGTGACGTTATAGTCACGTGACCTCAGGCTCATAATCACGTGACCTCCGACCCGATCAATTGGGTTCTGTCTTGGTCAGTTCCCTGTTACCTGACCTTAATTGAGGTGACGTACGACACCTCGTTAATTCTATAAATGTCTAGAAAGCTGCACATTTTCACATTCCAGCACTTAAGATTCTTAAGGAGTTGTGCAAGATGGCGATACAAAGAGGCCGCAGAATTATGAGGACTACCAGATCCTCGTACGTGGAACTTAAGCGATCCATGATATCACGACAGGCCATATTATAATACAACTACAAGTACTGCTGGCAGCTGCTGATCTAGATTTCAGATTTCAGATTTCAGATTTTATAGATTTCAAATTTCAGATTTCAGATATCAGATTTCAGATTTCGAAAAAGCAAACATTTGATTTTTGTTTCGGCGACTGAATTGTCGATGGGCCGGCAAATATTTGATGTCGAGTAGTGTTGAATACTCATATTAACATGATTATTGATTTAATTTAGGAATTGTATATAAATATCTTTGACCAAGTTTAATTGTCAATGAGAATGCACTCCAGCTACTAATTCACGCGCTACTAATTCACTCGCCATCAATTTCACGAAAAGAGCGATATTTAGATGTAGTGATTACTTAATGATCTTTAAATCTAATTGTCCCTATCTACTGGAAATCATTTAATTATTAAATAGAAGGAACTAGATGTACTGATTACTTATAATGATCTCTAAATCTAATTGTCCCTATCTAGTAGGAATGATTAAACTATTAAATAAAAGGAACTAGATGGACTGATCTCTAAATCTAGTTGTCCCCATCTACTGGAAATCATTAAACTATTAAATAGAAGGAACTAGATGTACTGATTACTTAATGATCTTTAATCTAATTGTCCCTATCTACTGGAAATTATTGAATTGTTTAATAAAAGGAACTAGAATACTAGATGTACTGTTTACTTAATGATATCTAAATCTAATTGTCCCCATTTAAGGGGCCAATTAATTAAATAGTAGCCTCCTGAATAATCTTGCTTGCTTCAAGCTTTCAAGGTTAATATATGTGTTCTTCTGACATTAAAGCCACTACAAACATACACATATAATACTTGCAAACGAGATGAACAGTACCATGCATCGAAAAGTGCCACAGAGAAAAGTTTATAAATCATTAATTTTGCTTGCTTGGATATACATGTATAGATAAAGTGAAAGAAGCGTATGACTTAATGAAAAATCAAGTCAGTAAGAACATCCAAGCTGTATCTGATGCCATCTCAAGTGCTGTATCTTACAGCATGCCTACCGTGGAGATTTCATCGCTGGAAGCAAGACTTTCGCAACTGAGTGGAGAGATCCACTCCTTCCAGAAATCTAGGAATCATCCCACCTCTGCCTATGCTGCAGCAGTTATACAAGAGAGTAAACCATCAGTAGCTCTCCCTAAATGTGTAAGGGTGCCATTAAAGGACTACCAAGTAGACATCTTGGATGAAGAACTGCTTGACGAGGTATCCAGATTTCTCACTGAGTTGAAAGAATCTGGTAAGTTTAACCAGATGAATGGAAGGTCAGTCCTCAAATACGGCGAAAGCTACACTTATTCTGGAGACTCAAATCCCCCGTCCTCACCAGCCATCCCACCAGTATTATCAGCGGCCATTGATAGAGTCACTTCTCAGTGCAAACTCACGCACAAGCCTAACTCTGTACTTATAAACTACTTCCCTCCAAGTGGTACAGAGGAAAGTATGTTACCCTTCCACTGTGACGACGAGCCAGAGATTCTTGCTGGCTCTGATATAGCAACAATTTCCATAGGAGAAGTTAGAAAAATAAGTTTTATGCCCATCCATGAAGGACAATCACCTACAAAAAATACTGAAATGTCCCTAGAATCGAACTCAGTCTACACCATGACACGTTTCTCACAGGCATGGTTCAAACACGGGATTAAACCCACCCAACAGACTCCGATAAACCCGTCTATGGGCCGGTATTCCATTACCCTCAGAGCAATTGACAAACAATTTAGGAGAAGCACCATCATACTTGGAGATTCGAACACCAAAACACTAAAGTTTGGTAGTGGTGCTGGAACGATGGGTCAATCATTCCCGGGTGAAAGAGTTAAGGCAAGCAAAGTTAGTTTGATTGACCCTTGTCACTGTATCGGATACAGCAACGCTGTTCTTGTTTGTGGCACAAATGACCTCCGAGCAGACAGCCTTAGAGGAGAAAATTCAATCCATCAGCTGGTTGACATTCTCCACATGAAAATCCAACAGATAAAAAAGCTCTCCCCTAGAATCAAAGTTTTTGTCGCAGCAGTCCTTCCAACCAGGCTACCTCAAATGAACGAGAATATCATGACCTTCAATCGGCTTGTTGGAGAAATGTTGAGTGCCAACTTTAACCAGAGTGTGTGGCACCTTGGAGTTGGACACTTTTTAGATAGTAAGGGACTCCTTGCCACCAACCTGACCAGAGGTGGTGATGATATTCACTTAGGAGTTTATGGTATTACCAAATTTGTGAGGTGTGTGAAGCATTGGGTGTATGTGAGAGAGAGGCAAGAACGGACAAGACGTGGAAAACACAACCAGTCAGTGGGGTCTAACAACCCCACTTAGTAAAAATGATTATGAAAATTATTAAAGATGTGTGTGAGCCATGCAGTAGATCTATTAACATCGGACAACCTTTACTAGAGTGTGAAAACTGTAATAATGCCATTCATACTAAGTGTTTCAAATCAGCTAAATATTCATGCAAAAATGGACTATGGATGTGCTGCGAGTGTGCCAGTTCTGCAGAAGAACGGTACTGCCCATTTCCATCTGATGAGGAATCTATTGATTCTGATAGATTCTATGATAATAGAAACCAGGAGGATGCCTTAATTGCATCATATGCCCATGTACTTGAAAGT